ATAGTTGGAACCAACACATAATTACTACTTTCTCTTCATGGTATCAAAAATACAGAAATATTCTCAGTAGAATTACATCACATTAACCAAATAATATTTTCCCATATGTTTATTCTTTAACTACACATCTCTGGAGTTTAAGGTGTTTCAAAGAAACATGAACACACACTACAGAAAACACAAATATCACATGCCGTTATCATTCCAATCTCTATCTTTGCTTGAGTTTAGAGCATAATTAAGAAAAAACTATACAAAATGTGCTATAATTCAGAGCTACTATTATAGCAACCACTCAAAAATTTAATACTTCATTCATCATTCTGATTCAATCATCAGACTGTAGTAGTATCACTCTGCAATTCATACATGATTTCTTAGCATGAGATGAGAAGATGTGATGTTTAGGTTTCCATATTGCATCTTAACTTGATATTAAATTATAATAAAAATAAATTGTTTTAGAAATTCATCAAGAAAAACTATTAGGAAAAGACTTCTTGAAACATAAAAACTTATGAATATAAAGGTTTAATACAGAAATTTTGTGTGGATATCCCTAAAAATTAAAATTACATTCATTTTGTTGATATTTGTAAGCCAGTGGGAATCTCAGTTCTACTTGTTTCTTAGTCTTTTTTAAAAAAAATGCTATATATTACTTATAAGTGAAAAAATGAGTAACAAAAATTTGAAATGAATTAGCAACACAGTATATTGTTATATATATTCTTTTTCTCCTGAGAGAAAATTATTGCTTCATTACTGCCACCAGAGTAATAATCACATAGAATTTCAACTGATATTCATTCAACTAATAAATTTTGAATTTTCATTTTAGGGTTTTATAAAAGCTGCCGTCTGTGTCCTTTTTGTCTTTATAGTCTAATCTTGACATTATTTATGAAAAGGATGTAGTTTTAAAAGCCTACAAAATACTATTATGAGAGGTAGAAGTACCATGTGAGTGAATGGTATTATTTACTGTAAGGAATATGATGCTTTAAAGCAAATGCATAATAAAACAAATATAAAAAGAAGTCTAGGAAGACAATGTTGGGGACAATACAGAAAAAATTGTGAGGATAGGACTTCTGTAAATTTTCTCCATTCATGCAGTGCAGAAATGGGCAATAGTTGAGAAAATTCTGCTTTCTCAGAAATCTGGCAATTAACTTTCAGCTTGTAATAATTCATGAAGTAATTCAATCAAGAAAAAACATCTGAACCAGGCATGGTGGTGCATGACCATAATTCCAGCAGCACTTGGAGACTGAGGTAGAAGGAAAGTTGTGAGTTCGAAGCCAGCCTGGGCTACATAGTGAGACCCTGTCTCAAAGAAAAAGAAAAGCAAAATAACAACAACAAAATCAAAAAATAAGTAAAGGAAAACATCAGATTCTTGGTAGGAACAATGGAGTTGCGGCACTATAGTTTACTCTATTTCGCCCGCCCCATAGTTCAGATTACATTGCAATCCAGTTGTGTTCCACTGCAGGACAAAACAACAATCTGGCTGCCACAAGTACAAGGATGAGCTTGGATAGTTGTAAGATCGTTCTTAGAGAACATCATGTACTGTTTGAAGCTTACTCGCTTGCTTTTTTCCTCTTCTTAACCTAGACTAACATGGAGTTTATTAAAAAGGAAAAATCCTTTTTCTTGGAAGACTCTATCAGAAATACTTAGAGAAAATTTCTTAACCATTATTTCAAGTAGTGTATGCTAGTGAAAACAAACATAGACTAACCAAAAACATTAAAAGGGAAATCAGTGGAAATATGTGTTAATGGGGTTTATCAATTTAGACTTCACAGAATTGCTTCAGAGAAGTCAATTTATAAAATAAAATTTAAAACTCTCAGAATAGTAGGGGTATAATTTCCAGAGTTGCCTCATGATATGATATGGTATGATGTGATTTAAAATGTCCAGTTTTTAGTGAAAGTTATGAGTTACATCAAAAGATTACCTACATATCTAGAAGGCCAAATATATGTATAGAGATTGAACAACTAAATTGGATGCTCCCACTTCATATATTGAAGTCCTAAACCCTAATACATTAATAGGTGATTTTATTTAGAGTAAGGTAAACAGGGTACAATGAAGTCATATAAGTGGTCTTAAATTTAGCATAAGGGATAACTTTATACGAAGGAGAGATGAGGCTAAACACACTGATGGGAAAGACCAGGTGAAGAAATGGAAAGCTGGACTTCTACAGCCAAGAGGGGAGGTCACCACAGGACACTAATCCTCCTGACGTGTCAGTCTCAGACTCATGGACTCCAGAATCAAGAGAAAAAATTGTTATTAAGTCACACTATTGTTGGTATTTTGATGTGACAATTTTAAGAACTAACTAAAGGGTAGTTGCAGACTCAATAAAACCTAAGAAGACCCTCTCAGCTTTGATGGGCCTTTGGGCCCTGTGCAAGTAGAGATAAACAAAATTATCAAGAGCCTGATTCAGTGTTGAAAGTACTAAGAACACAGAGCCCACTGCAGCACTAGAATTGCAGCCTAAAACATTAAGATATTTCCTTCTCAATTGATAACTGCTATAAAGTCAGAAGATATTTCTATGATGGCATATGCAAATCAATGCAGACTTTGCAGAATTGGTTCAGAAAAGTCAGTTTACAAAATAAAGCAACAAAATCCCTAGGAATAGTAGGGGTATAATTTCCAAAGTTGCCACATGTAATTTGAAATGCTCATTTTTAATAAAATTTCTGAGGTACATAAAGAAACAAAAATATATAGTCCATTCACAAAAAGAAAAACAACCAATGGAAACTCACCCAAGGAAGCAAAGACACTAGAATTTCAAGAAAGTAATTTAGCTCTTTAAAACTCATTTAAAGAAGTAAAGGAAACTGCATCAGGAGAACAAAAAAGAAAGTGCAACAAATCTCACCAAATAAAAAATATTAACAAACAAAAATTATGATATAAATGAAAAAATAATCTTGAGGTTGAAAAGTAGAGTAACAAAAATTGAAAACTCAGTGGATGATAAGCACTTCATTCCTATGAATGCTATACAAATATTCCCCCAAACAATATGCATTTATTCTTTCACAGTTTGGAAGGTAAGAAGTCAGGGCTCAAAATTAGCTCTGAGGGCTCAAAAACAAGTATAATTCCTTATCGCCAAAGGCTCCAAGGGAGAGTCTATTCTTTAAGTCTTCAGGCTTCTGGAGACTGCAGACATTTCTGTGGCTGGTTACTGTAACTTCTGCCTGCATCATGACATTGTCTATCAGGACAACTATACCTGGATACTTCTTCCTGCATAGCTGGCTGATCAGACCAACTCCTCCATCCAGCCCGTAAGGAGAGGCTTACAGCTCAGCAGGTCCAGTCACTTACTATTTTAATGAGAGGAGCCAGAGCTTTATAGGTAAATTGATATGTTCCTTTGTAGGAAATGTAGAAGCTTATCTTCTGATAACTAGAAAGGAGAGATTTCACAAACAAAATAAATGGTTTAGAAAGCTCCAACTTTCCTTTATAGTAAAGGAAAAGAAGTGTTACCTAAAACTAGAGAGGAAACCAGAGACCACTGAGGTGGTAAAGTTATTTTTATTTTTTCTTTTCTTTATTATTAGAATATTTTACATTAGAACAAACTTCTAAGTAATCACAATGACTGGGATTTGGGCTAAGAAGTTAGTAATAATCAACAATAGAAAATCATAAAAAAATTTTTTAAAGGAGCTTATAATATAGAATCACCAAAAAAAAAAAAAAGATACAGGAGAAGCATTTGTTTGGGGGAAAAAGCAAGAAAATAGAACGAGAGCCACTGAGGAAGTAAGTCTGGTTGTGCCCACAACAAACAGATCCACTAGCTGTACTGTTATATGATACTGTGCTTTTGGAAATACCATGTTTGCATTATAATTTTAAAAGTATACTGCATGTATTTTTGTGATAGACAAATGAATGTTGATCACTGAAGTCCTATTTTCACCACTAAAATTCTGGCAGGAGAAATATAAGCAGTTTCATATTTTGATGTTGACACGTTTCAGTGGTGACCAAAATATTTAGGGTTTAGCAATATACCAAGTTGAGTGACAGAGCCAGGAGAGTGTGACAATTGTTTAAACTCAGGGAAGCAATATTGACTTGAACATATGAGGTTCAAATAATGTGTACACTCAAACAGCTTTATACTAGTAAGCAAACTCTATGTAGAGAAAAAATCATTAGATCTCAGGTAGCAGGCCCAGGACTTTCGTGTTTCAATTCAGTTAAAAAAGAAGTAGGAAAGCAGAGCAGTCACAGCATGGTTTTCTAGGAGGACTGGCTGCAGAAAAAGGAAAACACTGTAATCCAAAGAATACAGGAACACTTTATCTGAGCGGAACACAGATTCTAATAACATCACAGCTAGGTGCTCAAGCATTGTGTGTTAACATCTCAATCTTGACACACAGATTCTAGACTTTATGAGAAGTACTTAAATAAGTGGAACGTTAGTCAAATCTGAATGAATTTAAAGGCACTTTAACTGAAGTGAGGAATATTATTTTTAATCCATTGCATGCACATTTTATTCATGCAGAGAAACCGTCACAAAAGCTAAAAGACGATTTTCCTCTCCTTCCAAAAAAGTAGCAAGTATATTTTCTAGCCGACTTTCATATTTTCTTAAGCCTCCAACACTTCAGATATTTAAAATTTTTTCAATAGGTATAAAATTTGAATAAACACCGACTTTGAAAGCCTTCTGTCTTTGGGGTAGACCTTGTTTCTAGCATTAACACGAAACAATACCATCTCAAAGAACTGTTTGAACAGATGTGAAACATTGTTAATTTGGCTAGAAACACAGTATCTGTCTAATTGTTATAAAGTGATTATATAATATTTGAAGTTTTCATCATCCTTAAAGACATTTTGACGTAGCACTTTAATTTTATTTTTTCAGGAAGCAGTTATTAGAATAGTGCTTGTAAAGACTGTCATTTTGTTCTCATCTGTAGTTTGGTTGCCACAAAAGAAACGAACAGTGCAAGATCTCGAAGCTCTCCAATGTCACCTTCAGACTTTCTGGATAAACTAATGGGGAGGACATCAGGGTATGATGCAAGAATCAGACCTAACTTTAAAGGTAATTATTCTGCTACTTCAGATAATGTTTAAAAAGTGTTTAATGTGATACATTTTAAAACTCTTTCCACCAGAAATTCTAATATTTATTTCCATCAACTTTCAAATATTTTGTTAGTCACATATGTATAGAAGGAGAAATCTAGTTTCATCTTCAGAGGTTTTTTAAAGATGTTCTCTACAACAACAGCATTTTTTCCCTTTCTAATAATTGTAATATTTATTACTTCACCATTTATTTCAAGAACAGGCACGTTCGTATACGACTTTTTAAAAACTTCTCCTGTCTGTTCCACAACAAACTTCTTTAAGGGTTGGTTAAAAAAAAAGCTTCTTTAAGGACTGGTAATAAACAATGTCATCTTTTTTGCTATTTTTTATGGTACTGGAATGGAAGCCAGATCTTAACACGTGCTACGCAAGCGCTCTGCCCCTGAGCTAAACCTCCAGTGTCTTCTTATCTTTTTAAAAGATTCCATGTTGTAGAGAATCATTTCTTCAGTTTACTTAATGGAGAAGAGACTAAATCAAAAAGGCCTCTTTTACTGTTTAAAACATTTTACTACCTAACAAATATTTTAATTGAACTTTTAGGAAAGTTGATAAAAACCAACAAAAAAGGACCACTTTTTATTCTTGTGTTTAATACAATGAAAAACAGCATAATTATACAATGAATATTTGACCTATCCAGAAGCATAATATATCCTGGAGTTGAATTTTAGGATAAAAAAAATCAGAATTTTACCTCTATACCTCAATTTACTTAATCTGTCTTGAAAATAATTTTAGGCAATAGAGATGATATTCCATTGAATTTAGTTAAACTATTTCATTGTTTTTCCCAATTACTATTCATTTTCCTTGTCTTGTGAGAGAAAAAAAAGAATTGTTAGTAATTGTTTAACAATTAGAGAGGAATAATAAAGGTCAAGAGGGGCTAACAATGAAAAGATAGTAGTAAAATTTGTTGGTAATTTATGACAAAAATTATGAATTAGATTGCTTCCATTTTAAATATGTTTTAACATTTAAATTGTAGGTTTCATTTTGTTTTGAAACCTTCAACCACAAATATTTTTAAAATAACAGAAATAAATCACTGATTATCATGCTGTGAAAAAAAAATGATACTGTCTTTGGGGGTATAATGCACAAATAAAAGAAAAATATCTCAGTTTTAAGATTCTTTATGAAATTGAAAGAGAGAATTATCCCTGCCATTAAGTTAAGAATTAATTTTTAATTGATCTGAAAAACTGGTTGTTACATTAGTATATCACAAGAAACATAATTGATAAGTAGTAGATTCATTATAGGAACTCTATAGTCAGGAACTCAAAAGTATTGCTTTTCTCACAGAAAATTAAAAAGGAAAATATATTATTTTTAAAAGTCAGTGAATATTATAAAAGCATATAATCTTAAAATATAATTTTAATGCAATATAGATAAATAAGGGGCCTTAGTGACTTTTCTGTTTGGTTAGAAATTTTACATCTATTTTAACATTTCATAAGTTAACAGATAATGTAAATTTTAAATCATTTATAAGACCAGGAATTTCTACAAGGATTTGGTCTTGCCTTAAATAAGTACTGATTCTTTTCTGAGCAAAATAGGTTCCTTGCAAACAAGCTGTATTCTGTTTGTTCTGAGGTCAGTAGATTCTAATATAAAAGATTCCATTTTGCCAGTATCCTTAAAGGGGAGGAAGAATTGATTTTTTGTTTTTGAAAATGTTACTTTGTATCCTCAATATAGAAACAAATGACCTTTCATTTGATTAAAAAAATGATAATATCAATTATAAAAGCAATTTACAGCCCTATTTTATAGCTAACACTCTGTCCTTTATCATCTTCCAAAAATCAAATGTTAATGACTGCAATACTCTCATAACTTCATCTCTAAATTAAGAATATTTTGTTTACTGAATAAAATACAATAACCAATTGAAATGAATGTGTGATTACTTGTTTTGTTTATGGTTAACATAAATTTAAATGCTAATGAAATAAATTCAAATGCGTGATTAGATGAAAGGACAAGAAAGATCAGTCCTAGTGCAGTCAGGAACCTACCTAGCGATCCATCTCAGAAGTGGGAGAGAAACATATCAAATACAGAAATATTAAATGAAAAATCTCTTCCCATGATAATTTTCTTACTTTTTCTTTTTTTTTTAACCAAGGACTTTTGTAAAGTTTCTTAAAGAAAAATATATCTTTTAAGTTGTGATCTATTTATGTATTTTAAATGTTATTAACTTGTGCCAGGCAAAAATAAGAATTATTCTCTTGTAGCACCATAAATTGGTCATGAGTGCACAGAGGACAGTATCTTCTCTCAAATGTTACTTTAGAAAATAATTAAACATGAAATAAATATAAATATATTTATAAATAAGTACTAATGCAAATTAAAACAGTTTTGGGCCTAGCACACTAAAATTTACTTTGTTTTTCTAACAGAATAATCCTCTTGTACTTAGAGTAGTTTCGATGTATTTAAAGATTTCTGAGAATCAGATTTCCCCTATAAATCCGTTCTGCCTTAAGGATAATTTGGTGGGGGTATAAAGAACTACTTCTAGCCAGGCATGTGGCTCAGCTGCCCAATGCTTGCCTGGCAAGAGCAAGCTCACGAGTTCAATTACCCAGTACAACAACAACAACAAACCTACTTCTAATTGTGTTGTATGTTAGTTATGGGTAAATGTAATGATTTTTAAAACTGTTATCAAGAAGGCATTTGTATCAGTCAATGTTTTACTAGAGAAACAGATATAATGCAAGATATACAGATGTATAAGAGATTACAAGGTTGGCTTACGATGATGGCCAGCCACAGAACTGGATGAGGAAGTGTGCAGAGGGGTGTCTGCACCCTGGAGATTACAGGTTTCAGTCTAAGGTCTGGAGTTCACTCTAGTGTCCTCTGCAAGCTCGCATCAAGAGGCTTATGGGTCTGCAAACAAGAGTTGAAAAGTCTACACCAGAAGGCTGAAGAATCGGAGGCAGATGCTGAAGTCTGGCTAGATGTCAGTAGATGAGGTACAAGCTGAAGACAAAGATAAGCTTCTCCAAAGAACAGAAGCCAGTTCATCTTTCCTCATTTCCCCTTCACACTGTCCAGCCTAGGGCAGGTTCTCTGTACCCTAGGGTGTAGAATTTCTGAGCTTACTCCACGAAGCTTCTAAAATTCTCGAGTTGACTTGATTGATCAACCATTACAGTACTTTATTTTTGAACTGGGGATAAAATTCACAACCTCACACCAGCCAAGGCAGGTGCTTGTGCCACTGAGCTAAATCTCCGACCCAACCATTAGAGCGTTTAATAATGACAAATGGTTCTAGAAATGATCTGGAAGTGTGCTAATAAAGAATTATCAAATAAATTTTCAGAGTTCACTAAATCACTTATTCACTCATAGAAATTAGAATTTTGCCCAATTATTATTTCAATAATTGGGGCTTGAAGAGAAGTGGTTTATGGAAATAACTATTTCTATTGTAATATATGAAAACAGTGAGTAGATGCCAATATTTCTTTCTTGAAATTAGAAAGCAATTAGTTATAAAACTTTTGTCAAAAAAAAAAAGAGTGACAAGGAAAGAAACCAACATATCACTGGGTATAAACCACAAACTGTAGAACTCTGATCAGGACAACTCAGTATAGCCGGTGGTGTTACTGATGTGAAAGGCTGGAAGGACAGGCATATTAAAGGGATTACGAGAAGACCCAATAATCTTTCTTATAAAGATTAGTCTCTATAATTCATTTGATAGATAGAAGCAAAATTATAGATATATGCAAATCTTTCTCTTTGCCCCCCCACCTCTGTCTGTCTCTGTCTCTTCTTTCTCTCTGTCTCTCTTGTGCCTTAGTACTTACAATTAAACTTTATTTCTACTTTTCACTCCACAAACTAAAAACAGTAAGAAAAAGTAATAATAGGAAATGCTTCTTTTTTTTTAGAACAAGAGTGAGCTTCATATATTTTCTAACTATTTATTAATCTTTAAAAGAGCAGTGATGATTTAGGATCATTTTAATTTTACTGACAAATTGACTATGAAGTGTGTATATCCCTTTTCTCCATAGTTTGCTCTACTATTGACATTTATTACTATAATTTTCATAATTGTTTGGCCAACATAGCATATTATTATTCAGTAGAGTACATAATTAGTGCTCATTTTTTATAGTATACAGTTTCAAAATATATTGGAAAATGCATAGCAACATGGTTGCACTATTTCTATATCATGCAGAATAATTTGTTTGTTCTTCAAGACAGTTTTTTTGTGGTCTTCTTGTCCTTTTGAGAGGGCCTTTCTCTGCAGTTCAGGCTGGCCTTGAGCTCACTTTGTAGCCCAGGATAGTCTCGAACTCACAACCATCCTCCTGTCTCAGCCTCCCAAATGCTGGAATTACAGGCATGTACTAGAACACCTGACTTGCTTTAGGACGTCTTTAAATCTCTAAATGTTCTTCTTTTCTTCCCTCTCAATTACTCCAATGCTTGACAACCCCTGGACTTTATTTTATCTCTAGAATGTTGCTTTTTGGATAATACTATGTGTCTTTTCTCTCATTGTTAAAACAAAATATCTGAAATACATTAAACAGGGAAAGATTTATTTAGTTTATGGTTTGTAAAGATTCCGTCTGTAATCCTTGGGCTCCAAGGCAGAGAGGCACGTGGCAGCGAGGCTACATTTCATGGTGGTAGAAGACAGCAAAAGCAACAAGAGCAAAAGAGGACGAGCAAGTCTCTTTTCCTCCCTTATACTGTATGCTGGTTACCTGCTGTCTGGCAGATGTAAGACTCACACTCCAATCCCAGCACTAAACAGTGAACCAGTCACAAAGTCTAGATTGAGCTGCCTCTGAAAATCTCATCCCCTGCGACGACAGGAGGCTCTGGGGAGACATGCAGACACAAACCACATTATGTAATTACAAATACACAGTAATGGCAGAATTTTCA